AAAAAAAAGAATGGCAATTTGGTATTAACAAAAGTGGGATTTTCATTTTTTAAAAGTTGGTTACCATGGTGTGTGAATGTGTAGTCTAAGCCAAACCCCCTTTGTAATGCCGGCGCTAATGTGTGCGTATATTTTGGAATCTCAGCCATCATATAACCAACGGTTCCAACTTAACATTGCAGGTTGATTAAGGAGGCCGGGAAACAGGACCCAGAACTGGCTTACATTAGCAGTAACTTCATAACTGGCCACGGCATCGGAAAGAATCAGCCGCGTAACAAACAGATGGAAGTGGAGTTCAGAAAGCAAGAAGAGGTAATGGAAGTGACTCCGTATTGGAAAACGAGCGCTTTCCTCTTGTTAATGGATTCGCTCGTAGACCCTGTCCTCGGTCTGCTCTGTGTCAGCACCCTGCATCCTGGACTCCCGCCAGCGCAGCCCGTAATTACCTGGCATTAGAGACGCACAGATATTGCTCGTTGCACTCTCTCAGGTTGTGTCTGCGTTACGTGGGCCTTATTGGCGCTGACAGTTAAATAACCTCATGTGTTGCATTGAAGTATGTAGAGTCAGAGAATCAGTGGCATTCCTTGCCCTTGTGCTGCCACTTGAACTTTCCTCACTAAGCAGATAGGAATTTTTTTGTTTTGCTCTGATAGGTTTTTATTTTATTTTGCATGTTTACATGGTATACCACTTTTTCCACTGCACTTTTCTGATCCTGGCCGAATTCTGTGCTGTTCTGAAAGGCAAATCTTTGAAATTTGTAGGTAGTGTCAGACCCACCTTTACATTCCTATTGGCCAGTCACCATGATTGGCGACCTGGCTGCCACTACGTAGGAGGTAAGAGGGGGGCATACAAGATTTGACACTATCATGAAGCGCCTGTCAGACTTTTGACCTTTTTGTCCGAACAATCCTCATCAGTGCATGGAAGGTAAATGTACACTTGAAAGGACTTAAAGTAGCAAAAGGATTTGTTCGAATTGATATAAAATGAGTGCGGAGAACAAAGTATCCAAGGTTTGGCAGAAATTTTCCTTGAATACTTTGTAATCCACACTCCTTTTATATCAATTCAGTCAATTCATTTTGCTGCTTTTGACTCAAGTATACATTTCACATCCAAGCCCTGATGAGGGACTTTTCTGACCACTGAAACACAATGGATGCCTCTCCCATCCTCTGGAACTCTTTACCCCAATCTGTCTATCTCCCACCTTGACTGGCTTTAGGCGACCCCTAAAGACTCATCTCTTCAGGGAAGTCTATCCCACCTCAACCTAACCACTGAGCTATCACATTCTCAAACAATTCATCCCCACACAGCTACCTCGTCATGTATCACTGGCCCCTCCCTTTTAGATTGTAAGCCCTCAGGGGCAGGGCCCTCCTTACCATCTTGTATTGTGATTGTAATGTCTCCCCATACTGTAAAGCGCTGCACAAACTGTTGGCGCTATATAAATCCTGTATAATAATAATGTATCCAGTTATCTGATGAAGGATTTCTTGGGCTTGGATTTTGGTCTGGCGCTGCTCCAGCAACTTCTTACTACTTTGCATTTGAGGTACCCCACCTAGGGGAAGAGCAGCCTCACCAGGGCTGTTTTGCTTTAAAATAGATTTGGATCGACCATTGGCAATCCTGTATCACTGATCACCATTGTTCCAAGTGCCTCTCCAAGATTTCTTTTGGCATTCAATTTCTTAGTGAACCATGACCATGAACTTTTGTCGTTCATTTATTCAGGTCCTTCGAAAATTCCGAGCGCATGAAACCAATTTGCTGATTGCTACCAGCATCGTTGAGGAGGGGGTGGATATCCCGAAGTGCAACCTGGTGGTCCGCTTTGACCTGCCCACAGAGTACAGGTCCTATGTCCAGTCGAAGGGTCGAGCAAGAGCTCCCATCTCAAATTATATCATGCTATCGGACACAGACAAGATCAAGGCGTTCGAGGATGATCTGAAGACCTATAAAGCCATTGAGAAGGTTTGTGGCACAGCCATGTCCCTCCTGATGTCCTTCATGTCTGATGACTTCCTGCATCTTTACTTTGGTTCATGTTTCAGATACTGCGGAATAAATGCTCCAAGTCCGTGGATTGTGGTGAGGCGGAGTCCGAAGCCATTGTAGATGATGATGAGATTATTCCTCCCTATGTGTTGCGGCAAGATGATGGGAGCCCAAGGGTCACCATTAACACTGCTATTGGCCACATTAACCGGTAAGCATAATGTGGACTTCTGACCGAGTATTGTATAAATAAAACATTCGGCTGTTCTGAAGAATTCTTTGTCATAAGTTACATAGTTCCTGAATTCTGCATGTAGTGTTTTATCAGAGTGTCCTCATATGGTGGGTGTTCCGTAATGTCTTGTGTTTCCCTGTGTGCCATCCTTTAAGGAGACTCCGTCACCAAATCGAACATTATTGTTATGGGTTTATTTGGGTCTACAACCATCGCAACATATACTTGAGTACAAGTGATCCCTTATTGTCCTCCAATGTTTATTTGCTCGTTGGGTCTTATTCTTATCCCTGCTAATCGATGAACATGCAAACAAAATAATGGCTGTTGTCATCTGCTAGTGTTCACCTTATGAAGCCTCTGTCCTTTTAAAAGAGAACTATGGGGGTCAGTGTTTTTCCCCATAGTTCTCTTTAGAGTCATGGGAGGACATATACTAGCGTCCTCACGTGACCCAAAGCTCAGTATATCGCGACAGCTACACCTCGCGATATACTGAGACCGCCGTTGCCGGGACGAATCCTGACAATGCTGTCGATCCATCTGCGTGAATGACAGCGGGCTCTGCCTATCTAGAGGCAGAGCCAGTTGTACCCGCCCCTCGTCCGTTCTTCCACTCACCGCTGGAGGATCAGAGCCTGACTGACGGTCAACGCTCTTTGCAGGGAGATGATCGGAAACTGAGCGAGCGACGGTATGTGTTCACTTCCCGATCTAGTGAGCCAACGTATGATATCTTCATTGTCACACGTCGACTCTAACTATGAGGATGAGTGATTTTTCACTCACCTCATAGTTCTCCTTTAAACCTTAAAGGGTTGTTTAACCCTCAGCGGTTTTTACATATATCTACTACTAGCAAGCAGTAGATATAGGCAAAAACATTTTTAACAAACACCTTTTCAAAAGGATTTAACTTACCAGTGTCCCCGCCGCGCGCTCCAGTCTGAATATCTGAAGATTCTCGGGCGGTGGCCAAGGATCTTGGGGCGGGAGCATACGCAGTTAAGATCTTCGGCCGGGGGACAAGGAGAGACACAAGGTAAGTAAATGCGGCAGCGTGCACCTGCACAGACACCGTGGGACAGGAAATACCAGTTAAGAGAGAGGATTCGGCGCTGGATCAGTGACCTGCACCGGCGCTGGAGGGACTCCTGAAAACTACTGGAAAGAAAAAGATGATCGGATCAAGAGGCATCATTTAAGGCAAGTCCTTACACTAGCATTCGGGGGGGAAATGTTATCCTTTTAATGTCACTTTAAGCGCAACATCATCCTCTATATAGAATGGAAGAAGCTATAGAAACTCTGATACAAATACTTGTTCAACGTTAGACTGACTTTTGTGTTCTAATTTATGGGTTTGTTGCAGCTATTGTGCCCGGTTACCCAGTGATCCTTTCACTCACCTCGCTCCGAAGTGTAAAACTCGAGAAAGTTGTGAAGGCCTCTATCGGTCTACTCTCTACCTGCCGATAAACTCTCCTTTAAGAGCCCCCATTGTTGTAAGTACCTGGTAAGAATATACTATACACATGCACACATACGGTTTTGTGAATCTTTAGTAAGGTTGTTTTATAACTTCTTTGCCTCATCCCCCTCAAGGGAGGCAAAATACTTAAGACCACAGAAATCTTCACTCTGCGGCCTTGCCCTGAGCTGCACAGAAAAGAAGCCCCTGTTGTGTCTAGTCCCTACCGTGCATGCACCACTCTCCTAATTGATTACTTTGACTTTGTCTGTACTTCTCTAAATGGTTGGAGCCGCCATAGGTAGGGAGTGAATAGAGTGAGCAGCTTGCATGCACTGTAGGATCTGGATACATCTGAAACTCTTTTGTGCAAAGGCTGTGTGAAGCTGGGCAGGGCTACACAATGGAGATCTCTAGAGCAGGGATAAAGGTTCACTTATACTGAAGTTGTCCCTGAAGGCTTCTTCTGAACTCCGAGTTCCTTCTGGCAGGTCAGTTGGACTTTTCCCTGTGTTGCTTATATTGTATCGTGCCTTTGACTTGTCAAGAAAGGGATCTTGTTTGTAGTGACAGTTCATCACATGTCCTCTCTCACCAGCTCTGTGTAATTGTGTGTTATTGTTCCAGGGTCCTCCCATGAACTGTGCAAGGCTTGCAGAGCGAGCAGTGGCCCTGATATGCTGTAAGAAGCTCCACGAAATTGGTAAGAATTCTCTCGCTGGGGCATTTGTCCCATGACTGGATCAATGAATGTGTGTGTCTATTCTCACCACTAGGTTATGACCATTTATATCTGTTTTAGTTCTAGTGGGTTGAAGTGCACCTGTCATGAGACAAAAGTCTGAGCTGTATATCTGCAGTGTGAGATCCTAGGCACTGCTGTCTCAGAGCTAGTTTCGGAGATTTGGAGTGAGTGATGTCACTACTGTACTGTTCTTTGCTGGATGCTCTGATATGAGGAAGCAAAGCCCTTCCTTTTACCATGATGGCTGCCTACACGCAGAGACAAGAATAGGTGTCGAAGAGGCTTCTGGAATACCAATAATCAGTTGAGCAATGTTGCAGTACATCAAACCAATTTTTAAGGCTCGTTGTCCCTGGTCAGGCTGTGCTTGTCAGACACGGTTACCATAACTGGGATACCCAGAATCATAAACCAGAAGTAGAAAGATGGAATGGAGAACGTCTGACCACAAATGGGTTCAAGGAAACTGCATTCATCAAAGTGATGATATAGCCAATCCATTGTGGGGATCTGAACCCTGCCCCGCCCCCATTAATCAGGGCTTGGATGTTGTAATGATTCTTGGTAAGACTTAAATAGAGCCCTTTTCTCTTTTAGGTGAACTGGATGACCATTTGATGCCAGTTGGCAAGGAAACCGTTAAATACGAAGAGGAGCTGGACCTACACGATGAGGAGGAAACCAGCGTCCCTGGCCGGCCTGGCTCTACTAAACGGAGACAGTGCTATCCTAAAGCTGTGAGTAATCAGTATGGTTTCCTGTCTGGGGTTGGTTAGGGGTTAGGACTGCTGTGTTTTTATTAGGGATGCAGCGATACTGATACTAGTATCGGTGTCGGTGCTGATACTGAGTATTTGGGCAAGTACTCCTACTCGCCCAAATGTTCCGATACCTTCCCTGATACCGGAACTTCTGGTCAGAGGAAGATTTCCTCTGACTGGCAGTGACCTAGGGGAACATGGAGCCGGCTTCTGGGCAATCAGGAAGCCGGGTGGCGAGTAATGACCCGCCTAGAAAGCCGGCTTCCCATCCAATCAGCATTGACACGGCTGTTCGGCAAATCAGCATCGAGCAAGCTTCCCGGCCAATCAAGAAACCGGGAGGTGGGTCATTACTTGCCGCTGGGCTTCCTGAGTGGCCGGGAAGCCGGCTCAAGCCTTATCGGATGGGAAGGCCGGTTTCCCGGCCAATCGAGCCAGCCAAACAACATGGAGCCGACTTCCTGGGCAATCGGGAATACGGCCGCCGGGTCATTACCCACCAACCGGCTTCCTGATTGCCAGGGAAGCTGGCTCCATGCCAGCGGAAGCATCGGTATCGGCGATTACCGAAAGCAAAATATCGGTCCTCATTTTTGAAGTTCATCTTATTTGTCCTAGTGACTACCTAAGAGGGGATTTCCATCTTTTTGGAGATTTCTTCTCACTTCCAATTGTCTAAAGGGCTGGAAGTGAAAGGAAATATCTGCAAAGGAAGATTGAAATGGCTTACTCTGCACAAAGTTGGCTATGCTTAAAAAAATATGTGCACAAAGGAGATAATTTGAGGGCTTTCCTCAAAATTTCAGCCAGAATTTTCCTGTTTTTATTGAAGTCTTCCTGATTGGATAAGTTTTTGTCACTTCTGTCGTCGGGCCTGGACGTCTCGGCTCATTTTTCATTCTTCTCGCACAAGTATTTTTAATTGCACCTGCAGGTTTGGGGAGCAGTTTGGCTGTAGATTTTGATTGACAGTTAAAAATTTATTTCAGAACACCTCTGGAGAAGAATAGTTTATAGACTGTTCAATGGTGGTCCCATTTCAATAAATCGTATGGCGCTGAACAACCAACCCTATCTCGTGCCTCATTTCTCCAGTGCAGCTTACGTCCAGTGTGTTCCCTTTGTATGTCTGCTGATATGTTGCAGTGAACTCTTTTTTTTATAATGCGCCTTTTTTTTTTGTACAGATCCCGGAGTGTTTGCGGAACAGCTATCCGAGACCGGGTCAACCATGTTACCTGTATGTAATAGGAATGGTATTAACCACACCATTACCGGATGAACTCAACTTCAGGAGACGGAAGCTTTACCCTCCTGAAGATACAACGAGGTGCTTCGGCATCCTGACTGCGAAACCCATACCTCAGGTAGAGCAGGGTCTCTCGCTTTGTTCTACAGTGTTGCATATCAACAGCATGCGACTCAATCCTGGCTTTTCAGTAACGGTCCCCTTTCCTTTAAACCATCTTGCTGCCGTCACTGTAACTATTACTGCGTTGGCAGCTCTGGCATGTAAGCAAACTCAGGAGCCAGGAATGTGCTTAGTTTTTTACTACCATCTGCTAGCTTTCACATGGAAGTGAATTGGGCAACTTAAGAGCTAAACACTTGTAACCCAGGAGGAAAAGGGGAAGTGGCTCCATTACAAGGACTTGCATGGTGGGTGTCGGGAGGGAGAGCAGAAGGAGATTAATAAATATCCATTCACTGATCTCCCCTGGGTTGCATGAACCAAGAAGCTCTCGGATCTGAGCACTTTCCGGGACAGGTCTGTCAACCTTTTCTCTTGCTGGGGGAGAAGCTGATTGATCAGAGACTTTGAAGACTGCGTGGGTGACATTAAAGGTCTAATAGACAACTGATGTCTCAAAGGAGAACCGAAAGAAAATATTTCCACTATGGGAACGTGCAAATGCCCGTAGGGTGACATCGCTACCATGTGGTGAATGTACCAATATATGTTTAATTTCATTATTATAATTATGACAATGATGATGTACTAAATAAATGCTTTTCTAAATTGTATACGGTGAGGCCTGGAATGTTTCTTTAAAGCCCCCTTTCCCTACGGGCATTTGCACATCCCATAGTGGAAATATTTTCTTTCTTTGCTACAATATATATATTGGGGTCTGAAACTTCCATTTCCTCTACGTCCATTTGCAATACATACTCACTAATGTTGACCTTTGTCTCAAAGGAGAACTATGAGGTGAGTGAAAATCACTCATCCTCATAGTTCAAACCGACGTGTGACAATGAGACTGTTACAGGTCGGCTCAATAGATCGGGAAGTGAGAGAACACATACCGTCGCTCGCTCATTCCTCGATCATTTCCCCGCAGGAGAGGTAAGGAGTGCCGGAATGGGAGGTTTTACAGCAGCTAAAAACCCTTTCAAACCCATTGACCGAGTATTGGTTCACATTTTGTTTTATGCCGAGTGTTTATTAATGAAGCAGTTCCCTTTTAAAGCAGGTCTGCCTGTCTTGCAGATTCCCCACTTTCCCGTCTACACGCGCTCCGGGGAGGTGACCATATCGATCGAGCTGAAAAAGTCCGGCTTTACTCTGACCTTACAGCAGCTGGAGCTGATCACCCGGCTCCACCAATACATCTTCTCGCACATCCTTCGCCTGGAGAAACCTGCACTAGAATTCAAACCCACGGCGGCCGACTCCGCTTACTGCGTTCTACCTCTCAATGTTGGTGAGTGGCTTTCCGTAAGAACCCCGGGGCCCGTCCTGTCCTCATAGGAATTTCTGTTCATAGCCAGAACTGGAGAGAGCCTTTGCTGTAAAGGTCATAAAGCCCAATTCCAGCCAAAAATGTTTTATCCACAAACTAAAGTTTTTTTTTTTGGCTAGAGTTGAGCTTTCAAAGTTTCTTACTTGGAGATCCTGCCAGTTACCTCACTTCCTGTCAGAGAGCAGTGCCGTAGATCTCACACTACAGTTACACAGCTATGAGACTTTAGGGCAGTGGTTGTCAAGCTATGACACCTGACATCAGTGGCAGTGGGCCCGCACATAATGTTCAGTATGCATAATGCTAGAATTCTCTGTTGGAAACTGCAGAAATACTAAAGGAAATGACGTCCAGACTGGGGACATGCGACAGATTTGGTTGGAACCTGGATACATGCTGTAAGTGACCGTGTGAGATACTGGGAAGATGTTGCATGAGGCTAGTGGAGATCACGAATGCTCCCTTTACAAAGCTATACTCCTACTCCCACTACAGGCTTGTTGGGTCCAAGGGCCCAACAAGAAGTACCGAAGGGCCACCGGTTCGGCACCTGGGATGTAGGCACACTCCTACCAGGAAATTATATTTTCAGGAGAAATTCCAGACAAACGTTTTTCAGGGCATTGGTCAAGCACAATGACCATTTGCAGATGTTCCCTATAGCAGCGACTCTTCAATTTTAGGTTCAGGTGCTCTCTAAATGAAAACTATGAGAAGAGTGAAAATCACTCAACCTCATAGTTCGAGCCGACGTGTGACAATGAAACTGTCACAGGTCGGCTCAATAGATCGGGAAGTGAGTGAACACATACCGTCGCTCGCTCACTTCTAGATCTATCCCTGCAGAGAGCTGTGGCATTCACAGCTCCCTGCAGGGATTCCCCTCCCCGCTCCCATCTTCCATCGCTGACTGGCGGAACGGATGGGGGAGGGTGCGGGTACAGCTGGCTCTGCCCCACCGTGACCTTTAGAGAACTATGGGGTCAGTGCTTTTCCCCATAGTTCTCCTAAGTATAAAAATGAGACTTCCTAAATTTTAGATTTTTTTTCTTCTTTTCCTCCCAGTTAATGACTCTGGCACTTTGGACATAGACTTCAAGTTCGTGGAAGATATTGAGAAATCGGAAGCACGTACTGGAATTCCTAGCACACAGTATACACCAGAAAACCCTTTTATCTTCAAGCTAGAAGACTACCAAGATGCCGTTATCATTCCAAGGTGAGAGCGTAAGGGTGCAGGGTTTCTGTTAAGGATGACATTTATTCTGTATGTCTTTTGAGTAATACACTCCCACCATTACCTATACCGCTCAGTCTTGTAAGAAATTGGAAATGATTCTGATTTTATGATTGGAGCATTTCCATCAGACTAGTGAGGTGCGAAGATTGAGGGCCCATGCATACTATGGCACCTACTACTATAACCAAATTTGAATGTCACCCCAACACACGTTGGCAACAGATATGCCTTGCAGTGCACTAATGCGTGTTGCAGTGCATTGCCAAAAAGTGGTGCACGCGCTATTTATGGCCGCACAATACGCAGCCACATCCATTGGCAAGGTGCATTGCATTTAGCATGCATTGCCACATATTGCAGTAAGGTGCACAGTAACATGTCTTACCACAATGCCACAGTGTGAAGGAGCCCTAAATGGCACCTTCCCTTCCCCCTGAGCTTGGCTCAGGTTAGAGCCTAAACTATAGGGTCACTGAAGGAAATACCTGCCTCAAAGGATCGGCCGCACAATACCAGAGCAATCCAAACGTTTATTGAAATAATCCAAAAAGAGTAAATCCAAGAGAACAATGAACAAGCATGTACATCACCATAAGCATATCCCACACCACGCCAACACCTCTCACGCGTTTCACCACCGTTATTGTGCGGCTGATCTTTTTGAGGATTCGTTGTGAACAAGTGGGAAGCGCGCTATCTCCTGCACCCAGAATGTGAACTGATCGCTCCTTGCGGAACTTAGACTGGATCGGTGAGTCTATGGAGCTTTCTTGAATAAAAGCTTATACAATTAAACAAGCCTGAGCGTTCACCTCCCTGCTTCCAGCATGTGAATATGAAGTGAAGGAGCAGCAACAGACTGCTAGGATCATCTCTGCTTACTCCTTTTGTTAGTATGTTCCTTACCAGTACTTGTGAATGGCATTTACCTATTGAATACTAATGCAACCGCTCCCAGTTAGTGCTGCTGTACTGATTACAGGAGGGTGAAATTCAGGTATTATATTTAAAAATACATGTCATGATTCTTTAATCGTTGCATTAATTGAGGGTTTTATATTAGGGCTGGGGAAATTAACGATTAATTCCTCGATTTAATCGTTAAACTTTTTGATCGATTTTTAAAATTCTTTTGATTGAAAGTGATAATACTCACCTCTCCGCCGGCTTTCGGGAGATCCGGTGACGTCAGGGACATCGACGTCACCGGACTCCTCCCCCCTTCCCCAAGTGGCTCCGTCGGCTAATGAAGGGAAAGGGGGGAGGAGTCCGGTGATGTCTGTGACGTCACCCGACTCCTCCCCCCCTTCGTTAGCCGACGCAGCCACTTGGGCCGGTGAGTTTGCCCAAGAAGCTCCAAGCTTCTGTCTTATCTTAAACTTGTATATATATCAGGGGTGTGGAAATTTTTGAAAAAACTACTTGTCCAAGGGCTAAAGCGGGGGCCAAATCTACTTGTCCTTCATAACAATCTACTTGTCCCAATACAAAAAAAAATAGTTTTAATTAAAACTAGGGATGCACCAATACCGGTTTCTGGGTATAGAGTACCGATATTTTGCTTTCGGTACTCACATTCGTGTGAACATGCCCTCAAATTTCCTGATATTATGTTGCAATCAGGTCCTTACATGAAATGGAATGGACAGGTGCTGCTACTTCAAATACTAAGCTAATACTTATGTTTAAATCACCCTTAGGGCTTTGCTGTTTAACTATACTACCAGTGTGTAAATACATTTGTAATCCAGCGCGTTATTATTCTGAGTTGCCCCACTCAAGCGGCGGCCATATTGAGTGGAGCACGTGAGATTAATAACGTGCTGGATTAGTGTGATCCTAGTTCATTGTATTACTTCATTGCTGTGCTGTATGTGTATAGCCAATGTAGTTGGATTTGTATGTGCGTTATAATTAAAATTAATCGATTAAAAAAAATTTTGATTAATCGAACACAATTTTTTTTATCATTACCAGCCCTAATTTTATATCTGTCTAAAGTTCAGCCATAAGAAGAAAGGCGGCTCCCTGCAAAAGCCTCACAATGCCTCACAATGCCTCATTAACCCTTTCCTCTTCTCAGATATCGCAATTTCGATCAGCCTCATCGATTCTACGTTGCTGACGTCTACACTGATCTAACTCCGCTCAGTAAATTCCCTTCCCCAGAATATGAAACCTTCGCTGAATATTATAAAACAAAATACAACCTCGACCTGACAAACCTCAACCAGCCCCTATTGGATGTAGACCACACGTCGTCAAGGTAAGGGAGCGGCATGCAGCCACAGAAGCCTTTTTCCTGGATCTCGGACTAGATACCCTGTTTCCCCGAAAATAAGACATACCCCGAAAATAAGACCTAGTTGTAACCATCCCGGGGCCGGTGGTGGCATAAAAGGGAACTTGAAGAGCCGCGGGAGAGAATCAGCGGTGCCAACGAAGCCAGCGCTAGAGGAAGCGTGGCGGCAGCGGAGGGAGCAGAGCCGCATAAGCCGATGCCTCCTCTATAGCGCCGCCTCCTGTCACAGGCGGAGTCATACCAAATGCACTCCGCCTGTGAGGAATCCATAGTGAAAGCGCGCTTCACTCATTCTGGGCAGCGATTGGTTACCAAATTGCTCTTGGCACCCCCGATTGCCCCGATCACCATATTTCTGTAGATGAATAAGTGTGGATTGTTATACATAAAAAAAAAATTTAAATAAGGCCTACTGTGTTTTTTTTTGAGCCAGAAGACATATAAGACAGTGTCTTATTTTCGGGGAAACATGATATTGTGAAGGAGGCCCAGCTGTTGAGGTCAAACCAAGAAAAACTCTCAGATATTTCGAATGTAGTCATAAAATGTATTTAAAGTTGTTGTTTTATCTGCTTTTATTTTGCCTTCTCTGATTCTTTCTTTCCTCTCATCAACATGCTAATGAAGGCACTTCAGCATGGCATGTAATCAGGATGTCACTGTTATTTCATAGCTTATTGTGATGTCATCACTCTGTGCTTTTCTATACAATGAAGGCAGATCATGGCTGGTGGGAGG